CCTCAGGCTGTTTTACTGTGTTCTGCATAGGAATGTAACCATTCATTCTTTTAATTGTTCTCCATTAGCACTTAGGTTTAGTTATAGCAAAAGGGAAAGTTCATTTAATTATCTTAAATGTTTTTATTTTTGTTAGTGTTAAAGTTTTGCACCTTTTTTGTTTTATTTAAAAGGTCTTACAACCTAAGCTTGTTGGGGGTTAAAATGTTAAAACTGTCTCTGTAAGCATGAATAGCAGGTCAGGCTGGAACAGTTATAGTCTGCTCTTGAGGTCACTCAGATATATATTTATTTTAAGATTTCCCTTTTTATCTGAAATGCACCTACAGTTCCTGTTAAGACATTTTGAACTGAATGGTAAATGAGTCAAGATTTTTAACATAAAAAATGTATACAGACTTTGTTAAGGGATCATAGTGATCGATGTAGACATCCTAAATGATGGAAACATCAGGAAAAAAGAACATTAAAAAATTTGAAAAATACCTTGTGGAAGAACTAGAGAGAGCCTGGAAGCTGATTTGGACTTAGACCAATTTGTTAATCCCAATTCATTAATTTTAGCAGTAAACAAGACAAATACACATGTAATAACATTTTAAAAATAAGATAATTAAAAAAGAAAAAAAAATTGACAGGATGCTGAAGGACCAATATCTATAATAATAAAAAAAAACACAGAAAGATAGTAAAAGGATAACATAGTTTTTTTTGTTTTTTGTTTTTTTAAACACACCTGCCGCCCTATATGGAATTTAAAAGTTGAATGGCTGTTGGTATAAAAGAATGTGCATAGCGGCATCCTGAAGGCAACAGAAAGAATTCATTTCTGAGAACATGTTCTAATGAAAAGAGGATCACTTTAGCTTTTTTTTTGTGCAATTTGTAACAACACGATTCAGACAGTTTTTATCCTTTCAATGTTAGACAATTACGGTAAACCAAAAGAGAAAATTAAAAACACAGAAGAAGGCTACGATAATGGCCGTAGTTTACAAATTGTGACGGGGAGATAACACACACAGTGCAACCCTTTAAAACAAGCCAGGCCCTCTGGAATAATAAATGATTGTGCGGCACAGATAATGAGAACTCTGTAGTGGATTCAGCTCACAGGGATTATTATGAAGAGGGATCCACTTCCTCATTCGCTGTTTAGTTAAATAAGCTCAGTGGTGGTAAATTGCTGAGCGTTTTTTGAGGACCACAGCCCACATTTGTCCACTAGCACAGCATGTAGCCTGCTGTCCACCATCAGTGTCTTATCTAAATGTTATCCCTGCTCCCTACTGAACAAACACTGGTTGGGCACCACTTCAAAGTGTAGCTGAAAGAACGCTTGACCTGCTGGAGTAATGGGCCTCTGAGATGTGAAGCCATTTCCTGTCTTGAAAATAAGTTCTCTTTAATAACGAACAAGCTCATCATAAAAACCATTTATTATATTTAGTTGGACATCGATCGAGCATCTCACATCCGTTACTTTTCATCTAGATCTTCCTCTCACAGCAGTGAAAACTTGGAATGATTCAAAATGAGATGTTATAGAAGTTGGCCATCAGTTTCATAGTTATACATTTTTCAGGGTTCATTTCTATAGGTTAATTAATAAGTTTGATTAGTTAGAAATTGTTTAGTATATGGAATAAAGTAAAGATTAAAATCCAAACAATGTATTTATAAGGCATGAATAAAAAAATACCTTTTTAGCTGAATGTGATTGCATGATTTTGACATTTAAGAAAAATAAGTCAAAATGATGCATGAATTTAAAAAAGAAACCAAATAATTTTCAGCCTTAAGTCGTATGTGTAAGAGAGATGTGACAAAACATTTTCCCGATCTTTGCTTTTCCAGTCTTTCCACAGATGGATGAAGATACTCAGACAGAGTCGGTCTAACACACAAATATAATTTTTAATGTAAACTATTGCTGCATCATATCAGGAGAAATATGTTCTCCAACCCTTTGTCGGCATCTGTCATTAAGAGCCTTAAATTTTGTCATTTAAATCGAGGGATTCTTCCAACTAGCCAAACATTTCAGCCCCTTATAGGATACCAAATATTTAATTGAAGCAGTCCTTTGCAAATGCGATATCCTAAACACTGATGTTACCATGCCAATCAATAAGAGAGATGCCCAGTTCCAGTCCTTGAGTGCTACTGTCCTAAAACTGTTTTTGCCTGCACCTACACACCTGGATCCGGAGGCGAGCTTCTGCAGGAAAGCAAACCTCTGCCTCAAGTGTTTTGCAGCCTCTGATGTTTTTTTTTTTTTTTCATATTTAGCCTATTTATTGCTCCTTTCAAATTCCCTCAATCTACTGAAGTAGAGCAAACCCCCAGCATGTTGCTGCAAATTGTGTGTGCACAATTTTTATTTTCTGTTACATCAATTGTAGGTTCCATATATGGTTTGTGGCAAACTACAAATGTCTTTATTTATTTTTTACTTATTTCTTTTGAGTTGCCTGATGGACTTTTTTTTTTTTTTTTAGATTATCTGTCAAACACCAGATATCCACATAACAATGTTACTATGACTCTATGTGCGACCTTTATCTGCTGTTTCATTTCTATTTTGGTGTATTGTTGTTCTGTTGAACTAAAGATGCACTCTCTAAAGAAAGGAAGGAAGCAACGTCTTTGTAGCGACAAATTCTTGCAGTGTGCACCGGTAAATGCAGAGATACTAGTCTAAAAAAAAAAAACTCATTCCCCTTATTTTTGCTCTCAGCAGTTTGACAGAATTTTCTTAAAAACAGGAAAGATATTTAAAGGATCATAGTTCAGACAGTTGGATGAAACTGTCGCCGTCTGATTTAGGAGACAGCCTAATGACATCTTTTGTTTTCTCTAAGGGGAAGTATTAGATCCCCTGTTTCCTGACCATCCTAAAAAAATAAAAAGCTTTTTCTCAACAACTTATTAATACTTGTCTCTTAGTCTACATACTGAAACCTTTTTTTTCTGTCCAGAGTGTGCAGGTCAGCGCGTCTTCAGAGGCATTTCCCCTTCACTGCTCGGCTCCCAGGCCCTTTACAGGGCAAAAGCAGCCCCTGCTGTCAGAGGTCACTTCAAAAGCGATGGGCTAGTTTCCACGATCTATTGCCGCTTATTTATTTTTTTAAAGAGCAAACACGATGTACAGGGCTGAAGCGGCTACCTCTGATGATAAATTCATGCATTGGGGAGAGTTTGTCTGCCTTCTTGAAGCTAAACCTCAGCTTTGATGTGTGTTTAGCTGTTTCCTGAGCAGCAGCTCTGTGCTAGGCTCCAACTGCTTTCAGGTTGACATAAATGCAGTCCAACAAACCGGGCCTTTATCAACCTCCACTATCAAGTAACTGCTTACCAGAAACAAATAGGCTTAGGCAATTAATTGCATTTGCAATATCTTCACAATGCGATTTTCAAATCACAGAGGCTCTCAATTTGAGTCACATTACATTTATCAAGACTAAGCCACTAAATGTCTAACTCCAGCCCTTTATGTTGCAGTAATTAAGGTAGGATTGGTGCCACACAGAAAGGAAGTGAGAGTTGCAGCTAGCATGCAGATCCATGCAGGATAGCAGAAGTGAGAACTTTTCCACTGAAAGGTTAAAGTGCTGCATCAATGGATTCTGGAAAAGCAAGCTTTCAAGGTCATAATAAACTGAAACCCTTGATGGAAACATCCACAGGGTTACGCTCGGTGCAAAGGGAGATATTGGTTGAAAATAATTACAATTTAGATTTTTGGCCAAATCGTTCAGCCCCAGTAACGAGGTTGTCCAAGGTTTCAAACTGCGTTCTGTGTTATAGTCGCCACAAAATCTGCGCAAAAATGTTTGTGTGGTTTCAAAGTCATAAATGTCTACTGTTACACTTGATTCAGTGTAACAGAATGGTATCCGACCTCGGACTCAAGATGGTTGATGCTCACATCAACAGCAGTTAAACCTTTTTCACTGTGTGTCTTTGTAGCAGTTCTTTATCATGTATGTAGCATGAAGTCGATCAGGTACTGCTGGTAGGTTGTTTAGAATAAATATTTCATTGCAGTGTATGCCCAGAAAACCTGTATTTCTATCACTGTTATGCTTCTAACTTTAATTGCACTGGCCATTGAAAATATGGAGATCCACAAGAAAAAAAATGCAAGGCATTTACTTTTGTACTTAGATTGCGCTACTCCAACCTGGCAGTTTTATGTTCTGAGGTTTATGGATCACAGAAAATAGGTTCCTGAATGGGATGCCAGATTTGAAACTTATATTCTTCTGCAGATGGTGTTGCACACTAAGCTGGGTAGTTGAACCAACAAACAAAATTGCTTTGCTTTGTTTTCGTGCTTTTATGTTTATGCTTATTTTATTTTGTATCAGCATTGTTTATTCAGACCATGCAGTGTGTTTAAAGGATTTTTTTTTAAGAAGGCTTTGGAGTTTTGTAAGGGTGTTTTATCCAATATAACTTTTCATTTTACAATACTGATATAGCTGGTTTGACTGTTCACCAATGTTGAATTGATCCAATATCTTTTTATTTATTTAGAATTTTGGTTTGTTAGAAAAGGCTTTATAAAGTGTTATTACTCAAATAGAGGAAAATAGTCTACATTATGTATGAGAACATCTGACTGGTTTATTAATAAGCAATGGGTTACATACATTTTTACAAAGAGCTGATAGAAGTGGAATGTTTTTATCAGCATGCGATTTGAGATTTTAGATCCAGGCCGCTTTATATATGATGATATTCTGTTTTTCGGCTGATTGATTACTGATGTCAGTTTTGTATTTTGAGTAGGGGTGAGAATTGGCATGTGTTTTGCGATGCGATACATGACACAATACTTGGGTTACAATTCAATATTATCACAATATCACTATATATTGCAATATTTTACCCAGCTATCACAATGAAATGTATAGATAAAAAAAGAAGCTAGAACTGTGTATGCTCATCAGAAGATATTGATCATTTATTTATCTCGGTATCCATGTTGTTAGGGGTTTGAGTCAGTCCACGTCTTCCACTGTGACTGCCTCAACTACAGATATGAGGCTGCGCTGCACAGCAAGAGGCTCCACAGAGCTATCAGAGGTAGCCAATTTTTCCCTCATTGTTTTAGTTATTTTTTTATTTTAATCGATATTAGGAACTGAAAGATTGATATTATATCGGGCAGCACAAATCATGATATATCACCAAATTGATTTTTTTCTTCAACTCCTAATTTGGAGACGTTTGCCTTTTTTCTCCAGTGAGCATCCTGTCTTTCAAGATCAGCAGAAAGCATTTCTTCTCCAACAGCAATATGTTAAAAAAAAAAAAAAAAAACTGTGCAGTAATCAAGCCCAAAATGTCTTAGACCGAAAAGTACAGCTTTTCAGACAGTAAATTAATATATCCATTCCACAAAGTGCAACATTGATCAAATGTTAACGGTGTGGGAGAGAAAAAACATGATGTATATTACAAAGGGGGTTGTCACAGTTTTAGTTTCACTTGGTTTAAATTTTGTGTAAAATCTCCTTTTGCCATAAGATTATCAATCGAGGAAAAAAAATTACTTATGAACTAATTTTTTAAATGGTCATTAGTTGCAGTTCTGGTATCAATTGACATTAATTGAAAGCATGATCAGTTACTAAAATGATTGATACGTTCAGCCCTACTGTGATTAAATTAACATTTTTTTTTCCCTCTCCCCCCCAGCGGCTCTGCCTTCAGCCATCCTGACACTGAAGTTCACACCATTTAAAAGGGGAATCTACTGCAATGACGAGAGCATCAATTATCCCTACAAAAAAGATACCATCTCTCATGGAACCATGGCTGCTGTTACTATCGGCTGCTCCATGGTCATTGTGAGTCCTATTATGCATGACCCTAAAGTTTTTTTTATATAATTGTATCTAAAGGTTGTTTTTAAAAATCTTCCTGTAAACTGTTTTTCTCTGGTTGCAGATCACTACAGGAGAGGCCTACCTGGTGCATACAAAGCGTCTGCGCTCAAACTCTACATTCAACCAGTACCTGTCTGCTCTCTACAAGGTGGTTGGCACCTTTCTGTTTGGGGCAGCGGTCAGCACGTCTCTGACTGATTTAGCAAAGTTCATCATCGGCCGACCCCGTCCGAACTTCTTAGCTGTGTGCGCCCCGCAGAACTGCAGTGGATACGTGCTGCATATCAACTGCACAGGCAATGCACGTAACGTAACGCAGTCTAGGTGAGACGATAATTCTCCCTCCTCACAGCGATGCTAGATGTCTCTGATCCTGGAGGTTCTGCACGGTCTTGGATGCACCTAATGTCATCTCAGAGGTGCTACTTGGCTGGAGACATGAAAAGCATTTTGTGCAATTTATGATATAGTAATGAAGTACAAATACTTTGTTATTTTATTTTTTATTTATTTAGGTATTTGAATAGGGACAATGCACATTAATGAACATCAGTATAAAAACAAATGTAAATATGCCGGATTATAGTTACAAAGCTAGTTTTCATCCGTAGACCCTAGGCAGGCAAATGCATAAGAAAGAACATAACATACAATACAAGCATCACAAGGAAATGTTAAGAGTTTAGTGGTTATATGACTGGTTTGTTTTCATCTGTAGTTTGAGTTGAAATGTAAAGCTGATCAGTGTAGGGCTCTCCCGTATGTGTAGATGTTAGTGGTTCTCACAGAGAGA